TGACCCTAGTCATGGACTGAGCCCTATCCTGATCATGGACTGAGCCCTGACCCTAGCCATGGACTCAGCCCTATCCTGATCATGGACTGAGCCCTAACCATTAGATACACATGTCTCGTTACTCTTTGGAGCAAGCCCCACCCACTGCTTTGACTCTCAGGACTGGCACGCCAAGAGCATATCCTTTGCATGTGAAGAATGCCAACTCTGCCACCAAGGCAGGAAGAGTCATCTCTAGGGTCCATGCAAGAGCGGAAGGGGAGGACAAGAGCCCTCACCCCAAAGTGTATCACCAGCCTAGACCCCAGGCCTCCAGAAGTTACTACTTTTTCCTCAATTCTAGCCCCAGCCTCTAGGAGGTACCAGAAAAAGGGTTCCCTTCCCCACCCCCCCAGTCCAGGGTCTCTGGCCAGAACCCTGGAACCAGACCTTCCTGTTGAGTATGGGGATCATGGAGTTCAAGGGAAAAAGAGATGTGACATCCACCCTTTAGGGGCACCTTCCCATTCCCTTGTTCTCACCCTTCCAGAAGAGGGAAGAAGCAGCCCCTTGCTCTCCTCTGTTTCTCCTCATGACCCCAACCATCCACCCCCTCCCTCATTTCCCCATAAAAGAAAACCACCTGTTCTCTTTGCCTCCTTCAAGGCTGACCAGGCTGGGCCTCATCTCTGCCAGCACTTGGCCCCCATGCAGGCTCCTCAGAAAACAAAGCAGCCTTTTCTCCCTCAGGACCCGAGGGAAGTGGGTTCAGGGAACAGCATGAGCCCCATCTGCCCTCATCTGGGAATGGGATGAGGGGCCGCCAGTCACAAGGCAGCACCCCCGGATTCTCTCTCCGCAGGGACCTCGGTCACCCGTGTGACAGCAGTGGATGCAGACGACCCCACTGTGGCAGACCATGCCTCTGTCATGTACCAAGTCCTGACAGGAGAAGAGTATTTCACCATCGACAGTTCTGGTCTGTGTGACTAACCCTCCCGGGCAGGCACCGGCTTGGAGGGGGGCGGAGGCGAATATTCCAGGTGCAGGGGCCAAGGGAAGTCCAGTCGGATAGAGAACCACACTGTCCTACGGAGGTGGTCGGTATCACACGTTAAGACAAGGTGGCTGGTAAGGGCAGGAGGGAGCAGACAGGTGCCCAAGAATGGACTCAAGTCCAGGCACCAAAATCAGGACCCAAGCAGTCACACAAGAGGCAGAAGAGAATGCAGGTTAGCAGTGCTGGGTATGGATTCTGACAGATCTGGTTTCCAAACCCAGCTCTGCTACTCACCCCTCTACAAACCTCAGGCAAGTCAGCCGACCTCAGCGAGCCTTGTTCCCTCCCCACGAAAATGGGAATGCTTGTGTTCATCTTGCGGTAGCTGTGAAGTCTGAATTAGATCATGTATGGAGAGCACATGGCCCATAATAGTCATCTACTCAATGTGACTTGAAAAACTGTAAGGACTGAGTCTTGGAAGCAAGACAGAAGTTCAGTTGGTCAGGCCTGGGGTACACTGTCTTTCAGAGGGATGGCAAATACACAGCACAGACACCACCACAACCAAGGATGCACCAGGACAGGCATCACTAATCCATCACAGCACTCTTCCCACTCTGAGCCTAGAGTGGGCCTCATGCTCTTTCTAAACACAATGCTCCAGGCAGCTAGGACCACTATGGAACCAAACTGTTTGGGCAGCTTTGGCCTAGCAGTAGAGGGCGTGGAGGTACGTGGTGGTTGACCAGTGGTTCTCAGCCCTGGCTGCTCAGTGGAATCACTTGGGGAGCTTTTAAGTCAGCTACTGTCGGTGAGGGCCCAGGTATAAGTATTTTCTAAGAGCTCCAGAGGTAACATGGTTCCTCCTGGGACACTTTTTGCAGGATTCATTCTTACGAAGATCAAAAACTTGGACCGAGAGACAAAGGCCAGGTACGAGATCGTGGTGGAAGCACGAGATGCCCAGGGCCTCCGGGGGCAGTCAGGCACGGCCACCGTGCTGGTCACTCTGCAGGACGTCAACGACAACTTCCCCATCTTCAAAAAGAGTGAGCCCCTCCCCTAGGGCCCTGGGGAGGGCAGGGGTTGGGCTACTCCAGACTCCGCGGACTGGGGGCTCTCGGGGAGGAGCCCAGAAGTCCCCCTACCTCTCCCCCCACCACGGGATGGGCCTAAGGCCCAGGGAAGTCTTTCTGGTGCAGGGAGGGACCCTGCTCCCCATCTCTGCACACATTCCCAAGGCTGTCCAACTGCCCCCTGCCATGGTCTCCTCACAGGCCGGAGGGAAATCACACTCACTGCTGTGTGCCAACCGTGTGCCCAGGCTCCCACTACCAGATAGAAGCAGTTTCACCTAGATCCCATGGGCTCAGGAAAATCCAGGCCCCAGCTAGAAAATCCCCATGGGCTAGTGAGCAGGGGTTTGGCAAAGCTCCACACCCAGAGCCGGGGCTGGGCCCTGACCTCACCCACAGACTGATTCCCCCCTAAAAAACTGACAAGGGCTTTTCACATGCCCTGGGTGGGGCTGGGGAGGAGAGTCAGATGGCTTATTGCTTGCACCCTCCAATGCTGAAGGCGTAATTCAGAGGCTCGGCCACCCCAAGGACAGGCCAGCTTTCCTGAAGTGGCCTTGCTATGCATGGCACAAGCTCCCTGGAGGCAGGACTTCTCTCTCTTGGCAATTGATAGGTCCCCTCGCAAAAGTACCTGGCATACAGTAAGTGCTCAATAATTACTTGTTGGAAAGATGGAGGGATGGAAGGACAGATAGATCAGAACCTCTTTGCCTTGGGACCCAAAATTTTAGGGGTATTACTATTATTTTACTGGGCCCATTTCCTGTATCAAAATGTGGTAGGATGTATGAGGGACAATTGCCTTGTCTATGTCATTAACCCAGTGCCCTTTGGGGCGCCCCTTCTGCATCAGCCAAGTACACATTTACCGTGCCGGAAGACATCCGCGTGGGCAGCCCCCTGGGCTCTCTGTTTGTCGAGGACCCAGACGAGCCCCAGCACCGGAAGACCAAGTACAGCATCGTGCAGGGCGAGTACAGGGACACCTTTACCATTGAGACGGTCCCCACTCGCAACGAGGGCATCATCAAGACCACGAAGGTGTGTGCACCTGCAGCAATGATGGCAGATGTGGGTCTGGGGCTCCCAGCAACCCCAGGACTGGCCAGGGGCTGCTCCTGGGTCACAGGCCATCAAAGGTGCACGTTCTGGGTCAGCTCAGAGCTGGCCGTGCGCTCGTGGAGACTGTGACCCTGGAGCTGGAAAAGGGGAGCCAGGAGAGAAGGGTCGGTGTCTTAGGCTGGGTTACCCCAGAAGCAGACCTCAAGACAAGGATTTGGGTGTAAAACATTTCTTTGGGAGGTGATCCCAGGAAGCCCCCAGAGCAGTGACACATGGAAAGGAGGAAGTTAATGGGGGCTCCTTAGTGAGAAGGTTATCACTGGGGCTAGGGGCCCTGGTCCCACTGGGGACATCTGGGGGACAGTGTGGAATATGCCTCAGAGCTGCAGCAGCTGAGGGTGAGGATGATGTGGTGCTGACTCAGGGCTGCTCTGGTGCGTTCACTTCCCGGCACTTCCTGGCCTGACCTGGGCACAGGCCGGTAGAGCCCTGGTCGTCACAGGAGCCTGCAGCAGAAAGCCATCAGCACGTAAGGAAACTGAGCACCATGGCGACATGGGTGGCCACTGGCAGGGGCTGCTGCCGACAGAGCAGTCAGACTGACTGAATCTGGAAGAGAAGTGAAGGTCCTGCTAGGGGCACAAAATGCCTCCAGAATGGCCATGCAGGGGACTGGGTCAGGGATGATCCTCACCAAATGGGACACTCCAGAACCCCTCTGCCTGAGCCAGGCCATTCCTCCAGCAGGCCTCCCCCGAGTCTGTCTCTGGCCCTAGCCCTGCAGAGGACTGGAGACACCCAGGGGAGCCAGACAGCCTCCTCAGTCCCAGAGCTGTCAGCGAGTGAGGAAGACAGACCCCAGACCAAAAGGGTAGCAGCCATAAGTACTATAGCAACCCACACAGGGAGCAATTACCTGTGTCGGGAGGGGCAGGGACAGGTTCTGAGACGACATCTGATTACCTTTGGATTGGGATCTTGAGGGATGAGTAGGAGTGTGCTAAGTGGGCAAGGGCAGGAGAAGTATCTAGAGCAAAGGCATAAAGAGGCATGTCCTTAAGGGGCTGTGGACAGAAGCACTGGTCTGTGATCCCCTGAGAGCAGGACCGGGGCTGATCCCTTGTGTGTCTCCAACACTTGAAGTAGGGCCAAGCAGAGGGCAAGGGTCAGGGGTGCAGCCATGAGTACTGAGACTGCAATGGGGGGCAGCTGAAGACAGCCAGGCCCAGCCACTCTCTTGATGACCTTGGACATTTCACTTCTCCCGGCCACAGGCCCCTCATCTATACAATGGTGTCATCCCAGTACTACCTTACAGGGTCGCTGTGAAGACCACATGCCACGTGCTCGGCTCAGGGCAGGTGCTCACCAATCTTTTCCCTTCCACAGCCCCTGGACTATGAACGCGTCCGGCAATACAGCTTCACCATCGAGGCCACAGACCCCACCATCAACCTGAGCTACCTGAGCGGCGCCTCCACCAGAAACATTGCCCGTGTTGTCATCAATGTCACAGACGTGGACGAGCCCCCCAACTTCCAGCAGCCTTTCTACCACTTCCAGCTGCGGGAGAACCAGAAGAAAACTTGGATCGGCTCAGTGCGGGCGGTTGACCCCGACGCCGCTCGGCGGAGCATTGGGTAAGGGGGTGGAGGGCGTGAGGATGGTGATGATCATGACAATCCCAGCACTGAGGTTCTTACACCTGCTGGCCTGAGACCAGGACTCAGAGCGGGAAACTGGCTTCTCCAGGCACCTACACGAGCAGTGAGCCGAGGCAGGGCTAGAAGACCAAGCTCTTCCACTAATCCATGTGGCCAGGTGGGATCTTGTCCGCCCTGGGCACCCCCACCCAGCACAGTCCTGGCCATCAGAGCTGCCCACTGTCTGCTCTACATTGAAGGGGCTGTTCTTTGGACCATGGCTCCCACCGGTCCCATTTGGGGAGATCTGGCGGTCAAGAGGGCAACCAACTAGATGACATACGTGAAACTCCCTCACTCAGATGTTTTATTAAATTTGTCCTCCCAAAACCACAAAAGGAAAAAGTGTTCACTTCCCACAGTGAAACAACACAAAGATCTACAAAGAGCCTATCAGTAACCCCACTCCCAGATAACTCACGTCCATGGTTGGATATGGTCCTGTCACACCTGTCTTCATGACGACACAAACATCTACATACACTTTCGGTAGATTTGTTGTTTGTTTTTGGTTTTTCATTGTTTTTAAAATTTTCTGGATCATACCATGCCCATTTCATCACTACTTGTTCTTCTGTCTCAACTAGACTCCTCTCCTCTACCCTCTGGGACAAAAGATATAGTTCTAACTCATACTTTCTAGAGCCACATAACATTTGATAGTAAGTATGAATTGAACACAATCTCATTTTATTCCAGAGGGTGGCCAATTGTGCCAGCACCATTTATTAAGTCAGTCATCATTTTCACGCCTTTGTTATATACTGAGTTCTGTATAAACCGCAATCTATTTCCAAATCCTCTATTCTATCTATTGTTCTGTCACAAAGCCGTTCATTTTGTTTTACTGTGGCAGCTTTTTACTAAAACTTTGTATAAGGCAAGTCCCTCCCTCACTGTTTTTTCACTTTATATAATTTTTATGCATTCTCAAACATTCATTCTTTCATATGAACTTTAAATATGTCCCTCCATTTTGACCACAGCTCATAAGTTTTGGGACTACTGTCTTCATGGCCATTCTATTCTAAATAATCTGTAATGATGATTTTTATTTCTTCATTGATCCAAGGGTTTATTTAAGAGATTGATTTGATTTTTTTTCTTTTCATTTACAAGTGGTAAAGCATTTTCTATTTTTGCTTTAACTTGTTCTGTGATGTAATACAAGTGTGTTTGTGTCCATTTTCTTCCTAGAATATCTAAGCTTTTGCTTTACATATTTTAATTTTTCTATTCAGTTATAAGTCCACAACTATTTTACCTTGATTACGGCTTGTAACTTTTATCCCTATGAAACTACCCAGTTTGTCCTGCTTAAACATTTTTGCCTTCAATTCCACGTTGCCTGACGTTAAGTCAATCAGTCCTGTTTTCACGTTATTCGTGTTTGCCTGATATAAATTTTCCAACCTTCTCTTTTAACTTTTCTAGGTCATTTGGCATTAAGTTGTCTCTTGAAAATAGAATGTAGTTGATTTTTCTTTAATCTAAACTGAGATGTTTTGTGTGTAACCTATTTACATTTTTTATCACAAATGATATGTTTGATCTTACTTATTTTATTGTTTTACATTGCCCATTTCTCAAACTTAACGTCTTTTTTCTTTTCCTCCATCTTTGCTCTAGAGTCTATTTTTTCTTTTACTTTTTTCTAGATATTTGGAATGAATACATCCATTTTTACTTCTACCTGTAAAACGAGATTTACTTCTATCTGTAAAATTAAAAATGTTTTCCTAGATCTATATTTTCTAGTTAAAAATACTACACGCACACACACACACCATTGTTTTCTTATGTATGATAAAGAAATCAGTAGCTTCATTTTAATTCCTCCCAAACCAGGTTTTTACTTTATATTGAGACATTTCTTAGTTAGATGAAGTTTTCAAAAAATTTTTTTCAGGACCCACCTATGTGGGTGATATATTTCCTGATTTCTTGCATACTTACAAATACCTTAGTTCTTTTGCCTTATGTTAATAACACCTAGATGTGCTCATATAATCCTCAGATTATAGATATTTCCCTTCAAAAATACTATCAATATGTTCTAGCATTTAATTTTGTGGAGACATCTACGGTGAGTTCAATTTCCCTTTCTTCACAAGGAACTTATTTTTTCTGTCTAGACTCTTTTCAGTTTCTTCATACAGCCTTGAAACTCAAAAGCGTCATCAAGATATATCTAAATATTGATCTCTTTTTTTTAAATTATGCTGATATCAATGACCTCTTTTAATCTATAGACTTGGGCCTTTCTTCAGATCAGGAAAGTTTTCTTTTATTATATTTTTTGTTATTTCTTCTGTTCTATTGGTTCTTAAATATTCCTCAGTAGTAGTAAATATACATATTTGGAATTCCAAATATATGTATATTATATATTATATATATTCCTCTTTCTTTTCATCTCTTCTTTTTTTTTGTGAGGAAGATCAGCCCTGAGCTAACATCCGATGCCAATCCTCCTCTTTTTTTTTTTCTTTGCTGAGGAAGATTGGCCCTGAGCTAACATCCATGCCCATCTTCCTCTACTTTATATGGGACACCACCACAGCATGGCTTGACAAGCAGTGCGTCGGTGCACACCCAGCATCCAAACCTGCGAACCCTGGGCCGCTGCAGCAGAGTGCGCACACTTAACCACTTGCGCCACTGGGCCGGCTCCCTCTTTTCATCCCTTGGTAACTTTTTTCTTTATTTCTGGACGAATGTGTCAAATTTTTACTTCACAAATTTAATTTCCTTTTGATCACTTCTTATCTCTTCCAGCTCCTTTTTTATTTCTTCCTGTCTCCTACCTTTTCATTAATTACAAAAACCAATCCCAGCTGTGGTGTAGTTGATTGTAGTGCCACCTGCCTCCGCTCTGACAGTGCTCTTGATGGAGCCTCAGGCACCACCCTCAGTCCAATGATGGCAACAGGGCTAAAATCAACAGGATTATCTCAGTACTCTGAATCCCCCTGGGAGGTAGAGTGCAATGAGCAGTGAGAGGAGGACAGAGGAAGATGGAGGGACACATACTGAAGGGCCTCCTCTGTCATGCTGAGGAGTTTGGACTTAGCAAAGAAAATGGAAAACCATGAAACTCTCTTCCCTGGGCAGATACTCCATCCGCAAGACCAGTGACAAGAACCAGTTCTTCCAAGTAACCAAGCAGGGGGACATTTACAATGACAAAGAACTGGACAGAGAAATCTTCCCCTGGTATAACCTGACAGTGGAGGCCAAAGAACTGGATTCTAGGGGTGAGTGGCCCCATCTCAGGGGACCTGGGCTTTTCTCCTTTCCTTCATTCTTTCAAAACTGGCATACTCTGTCGTTTTGGGTCTCTAGAGGTATTACAAGCACCTGCTGAAGCACTACTTGGCTAGGATGCTAAAGAGCCTCGATCCCCAAGGTGTGGATGGACCAGTGGCATCCACATCACCTGAGACCTTGTTAGAAGTGCAGAATGTTGAGCCCCACCCCCAGACTGAATCAGAATCTCATGCACATTGCAGTTTAAGAAGCACTGTTATAAAACAGGCTGCCAGATGTCCCTGAGATGAGAATCACCTAAGGCACCTCTTATACATAGAGCTTCTCAGACCCCTCCCTTGGAGGTTCTGGTCCAGTGAGCCAGAAATGGGGCCAAGGCATGTGCACCGAACAAGTGCTACATGATTCTTATTATCATGGACATTTGGAAAAGGCTGCTTTGGGGTGTTTATGTGCCAGTTAGTGGGTTGAATTCAAAATCTGAAGTAGCTTCCAACTCCACGATTGTTAGGGTCTCCAGAAATTAGTGTAACTTTTGCCAGAAGGAAAGGCAATTATTGCAGTTTTGCAAGAAAATCACAACCGCCCTCCAGGAGAAGGATTCATATTCCCACCTTACCCAGGAGACCACCAGGGCCCCGAGACGGGTGACAAGGCCCCACTGGTGCTACCCTGGAGGGCCCCTGCCACCTGCTGGGTGCTTCCAGATTCCCACAGCCCCCAACACGGAAGCCAACCCCAACCTCAATGGACTCCTGCGTGTTTCCAGAGCAGTCTTTGCCCTCTTTTTCCCTCATTCATACAATTGTTAAACTCTAAAAGCAATAATTTGTTGTTCATTTTAACATACAGAAAATACAAAAAAGGAGAAGAAAATTATCCCCCCATAATCCTACTATACAGAGACAATTACTGCTTTAGCCTATTTTCTCTGGTCTTATTTTATACATTTTTTTATACAAGTGAGAGCATAATATTTGTGTAAAAACCATATCCTGCATTTTTACTTAACCTTATTCCAGAATCATTTTCCCATGGTACTCAAATGTCTTTTTTTTTAATTACATTTTTAAAATGTAATTTACATGGGCTTTGTAAATGGCCACATATCCCATTCTTTTAAATTGGCTTAATTTATCAACCCAATCTCACCTGGGTTGTTTACTTTTTAAATTATTTTGTAATTAATCAATTTAATTTAATTTATTTACAGGCATACCACGGAGATATTGCGGGTTCGGTTCCAGACCACCGCAATAAAGCGAATATCGCAATAAAGCAAGTCACACCAATTTTTTGGTTTCCCAGTGCATATACAAGTTACGTTTACCCTATGCTGTAGTCTCTTAAGTATGCAATAGCATTATGTCTTAAAAAACAATATACATACCTGAATTTAAAAATACTTTATTGCTAAAAAATGCTAACCATCATCTGAGCCTTCAGTGAGTCATAATCTTTTTGCTGGTGGAGGGTCTTATAAAAAACATACTATCTGCAAAGTGCAATAAAACGAGACATGCCTGTAATTAAATAAATTATATCTACTTAAATTAATTCAATTACTCAATCAAATTACTAAATTGGCTTAATAATTTAATTAATTGAATTAATTTGATGAAGCCCTTTTTAAATTCAATTACATTGTTTACCTTTTTGATTCTTACAAGTAATTCTTTAGTAAACATCCTTGTGCATGAAGTTTGACCCCCTTCCTCTTCCACTTCTGTCACCCAGAACACGAGCCTTGGCCTCTCTTCCAGAGGTCCACAGCCCCCTCTTCCTGCCAAATGTGCGAGGGCACCCCATCCAAACACCTTCGACCCCCTGGGGCTGGCATCAGCTGAGCCCACTGTGGTGACTGACAAATCCTTTCCCCCTGCAGGGACCCCCACGGGCAAAGAATCCATTGTGCGAGTCCACATTGAGGTTACGGACGAGAACGACAACACCCCAGAGTTTGCCCAGCCCTATGAGCCCAAAGTGTGTGAGAATGCTGCCCAGGGCAAGGTGAGTCCAGCTCAGGTGGGAGGGCAAGGCAGCGCCCCCTTGGGGCACGCTGAGGAGCAGCACCTCCTATCCACAGTCAGCTGGAGTTCCACTGAGCTTAACGTAACCTGCACAACAGCCTTGAGAGAAGCCGACATTATTCTCACTTTACAGATGGAGAAACTGAGGCTCACAGGGTAGATTGGTGGGGAAGGGGATGGTAGAAAGAGTGGCTTTGTGGAGACCACTTAGGTTAGTGTTGCAGGCGAGAGGCAGCCACGGTCAGGTCTAAACCCAAAGTCTCCATCACCGAACCCTGAGCCACCCCAACACCACCACTGATCATCCCCCATCTTTCACATTCCAGGTGGTTGTGCAAATCTCGGCAATAGACAAGGACATAACACCACAAAACGTGAAGTTCAATTTCTCCCTGAGCACTGAAGACAACAACTTCACCCTCACAGATAACCACGGTGCGCATGAACTTAGTCAGCCTGGCTCTTAGCGGGGTCGGGGCAGGGTTCTTTGAGTCTTGAAGTGCCAGGGTCAAGGACCAAGGCAAGGAATTGGGGGCAGCCCCTCACTGGAGTTTTCAAGATAGGGGATATCTGCACAACTCCCATCACATAGCTCATCTGTCTGTGCAAAGGTCAGAGCTGCCCAGGCCAAACTGCCACGTCCACATTCCTCATAAGATGCTCAGGTCAGTGGGGAGTACAGAACAGATATGGGGTGCAGACAGCCAGCTCAGTTCATGAATTAGCCAAGGGATTCCTTCCCACACAGGATCTCTGTGCTCAGCACAATTGCAAATTGCTCTATGACATGGAACTTTGAGGTCACTTCTAAAGAGTCAAAACCTTTGGAAATGGGAAATCTGAAATGCCAAGGATACAGTGAACTTTGTTTTAATTCAGCTACAATGACTACTTACCGCCAAGGATCTGGTCCACCAGTCACACCCCAGAGAGTCCTGTGATGTCAGTAGTGGCCAATCAGAGCTTCCGATGAGTACGTGCTTATGAGAGTGATGATGCTGAGTTGACTGAATTCCAACCAAAAGTAGACAGGCTTCCATGGGTTCAGCAGCTTCCTCAGAAAAATAGAGAAAATCCCCCTTGGGTCAAAATAGAGCAATCCTTCACCCAGCTCAGGATGGAATCCCTGCCTGTCCCTGATTGGCAAAACTGTGGTTGATGAGGATCCCTGTATGGAACAGCCATTGCTACCTTTGAGAAAGAGCAGGGAGTGGGGTCCCTGAGAGTGGGTGCAGACCCAAGGGATCAGCCACAGACTGTCCTTAAGGAACCTCCTCTGGGATTGGAAAGGTAGCCAGGATATGTTGACAGTCAATGACAGACCATTCAAGGTTCGGCTGTCTTTAGCAGTAAATAATGTGGCAAAAATACCTGCTACTTCATCCCCAATGCCGCCTCAATCCCACCTCAGAAGGAGTAGAAAGCTTAAGTGCCACCCAAAGACACCCCAGGTACAACCAGAAGGCAAGCCTGTTGGTCTCAGATTCACCTTCAGCATGAATATCCTGCTATAGTATTAAATGAATATGGCGAGAAATCTCCAATTTCTCCCATAAAGTGTCAATGGCCATATTGTTACGATTTTCAATTATAATAGACATGGCTACTTAATAATGAAATGTAAAATTGCCTCTCATCCGAAATCTCAAAGGTGGCCTCCTTTGCTTTTGGCCTGCTTCCTGAGCAGGCCGACCCCACGTGGGTAGGTAAATCCCGGGGGAGTCCCTGGACCCTCTGACCATGAGCATCACAACCTCCCAGGAACCTACAAAAGGCAGATCATCTGGCCTTCACCCCGAGCCACTGAATCAGAAAGTGGAGGGGGGGGATTTGAGGGGGTTTTGAAAATCAGCATATTTAAAATGCTCCTTGGGAGAGTCTTCTGTACATAAAACCACTGATTGGAGCTGGGAAGGAGAGCCAATATTTGGGCCAAAGCCCATTCCCAATTCCAGGCTGCCCAGGAAATCCTCAATTACATATGTAATCTCCCCTCAGTGCCCCAGGGAACGTGTGTATCGTTTTTACTTTCTAATGCACTTGCAGGGATACCAGAAACAAGAAGTTAGCCCAATGCTAAAAGACTTTTTAAAACTTTAGTTTTCCCCTGATTGCTTGTCAAAGCTTGAAACAATGCATAATTAATTGAGCTGTAAGAGAGTGGCCTGTTATCAAAGTAGGATGAGGGAGGAAAAAGGGGTCAGCCATATGAGTTGCCCACAGAAATGGAAAGCAAGGATTTATATTCTGGCCAAGCCATTCTTAGAGGGTAGGTCTAAGCAGCTGCCCAAAATATCCCCTCCATAGAGGAGCAGACCTGCGCTCAAATGACTGAAACATGAGGCAGGGGATGCAAAGGGCAGAGAAGCAGCCCAGATAGCACATGGGCTGGCACAGTCAGGGAGGGCTCCCCGGAGGAGGCAGGCCACACCATCAGTGTGGACGAGGGGATGGGCACTCCAGGGAGCAGAGCCTGACTCAGTGCCCTTGGTGTTTCCAGATAACACAGCCAACATCACAGTCAAGTACGGGCAGTTCGACCGGGAGCGTGCCAAGGTCCACTACCTGCCCGTGCTCATCTCAGACAATGGGGTGCCGAGCCTCACAGGCACCAGCACGCTGACCGTGGCCGTGTGCAAGTGCAACGAGCGCGGCGAGTTCACCTTCTGTGAGGAGGTGGCCGCCCAGGTGGGCGTCAGCATCCAGGCGCTGGTAGCCATCTTCCTCTGCATCCTCACCATCACAGGTCAGTGTCTGGGGTGGGGGGGGCACAGAAGGGACACTGAGGGGGCTGCACAGGAGGAGGAAGAGGCCAGGGCTCCAGGCCCAACCCTGCCTCCAGCCTGCAGTGCAGCCCTGGACCAGTAGCCCACCCTGGGCCCCAGGCTCCACAGTGGGATACAGGGACTGGAACTCCAGCTCCCTGGATGCCTAAGGGAGAGGGTGGATGAGCGGAGAGGCCGGGTGGGGCTCAAGGCCCCTCTCCCAGTTTAAAATACTTTATATAGGACGTTTGCTCATTAGACTTGTATATTTTGAGCACTAACTGTGTGCCAGGCAATGTTCTAGGCATATATTTACATAAAACCTATTTTGAAAAAAGAGCATCCAGTTCCTCTTTTGGAAAGAAATGGAAAGTTTAAAAACTTCTAGTTTAGATTATCTCCAGGGGCTTTCTTTCCTTTTTTAGGATTCCTCCAGCCTTGCTATCTCTTTCTTTTTTGTTCGGGCCTCAGAAATTTTAGGAGCATTTTAGGCCTTGCCTTAGGTTTGGGTTGCCCAGGAATGAGACCCTGGGACAAGGATTGGCGTGCAAGTGGTTTATTTGGGAGGCGCGCCCAGGAAGCCCCAGAAGGAAGAGGGGAAGGCGGACAGGGAAAGGAGGCAGCCGACCAAGGGCGCATTGTCACGAAAATTACCACCGTGGGCCACACCGGAGCTCCTCCTGCTGGGGACCAGGAGGCAGCACTCACAGCCAGCGTTTATCCCCCAACTCCCATCAGCTGATGGTTGGGGGCTCCTCCAGGGGCGTAAAGTCTCCTGCACGTCACCTGCCATGAGATGGGGCAGTGGCCAGCCCTCCGAGGAAGGCTTGGATGGTTAGAGGTCACCCTGTGCACAATGAAGGATCTGGGGATACCATGCAGCACCCACATTATCTGCTCCATGCCCTTCCTCCCAGTGGTTCCCCTAAGGGGCCCCCAGGATGTGTCCCCCTTCTGGAGCTTCTGTAGAAGAGAGTCCAGACCCAGAACCCCTTTTAATAATAACGAGTAACAATAATGATAATGGCATTGCCACCACACATAGAATTCACTAACCTTATAACCACCTTAACAAACAGAAACAGAGCAGAGACATCATCGTTTCCATTTTACAGATGAGGAAACCGAGACTCAGAGAGGGTGCCCCACTTTACTTATGTTCATAACAGTTTGTCAAGTAACCCAAGGCTAGAAGGACAGAGCCTGGGGGAGGATCTGAGCCTAATTTTAGGAGCTCTCTGCACCACACAGTCCACCCCTCCTCAGGGGTCGGCGACTCTCACACAGTTACACCCCTCAGAGCTTTGCGCAGGGTCGTCATCTACACCATTGCCTGACCATGGGACTCGGGGAAAGTTACTCAGCCTCTCTGAGCTCAGTTTGCTTAACTATTGATAATAACAACAGCCTTGAATGAGATAACATGAAAATGTGCCCAGTATCACATCAGCAAGTATACAGTAGCTACTCAAGAGTGGCTGCTGCTACTATAACGGGTGCTATGTCTACCAGCACGACCATTATCCATTACTATCATCATCATAGCTGTCAATGAAGCAATGGCTCAGCATTTTTGAATTCCAAATCCCAACTCCATCCCTTTCCCCATTTCTTCCCCAACCTCTGGCCTCCTAGCCTTTGGACAGACATGGAAGGATCTGCCTCAGTGGTATGAGGAGGCAGGAAATGAGGATGTGGGTAGATGGGGTTGAGACTGTCAGGCTTGAGGGAGGCCCACTTTGCTCCTCCCCACCCCCCCACCCCCCCACACACCTACAAGGTGGCCATGACAGCAAATGAGGATCATATCCTGGGGGGACAAGGGACTCTGGGGTGGGGTGGGGGTGGACCCAGCAGGTATCTAGACTAAACCAAGCCTTCCGTGTTGGCCCAGGTGTCGCCGGGAAGCTGGGCTGGCCCAAGAATGTCCAGGGAGGAGGGGAGGGCGCAGGTGAGCCTCAGAGGGTGGGGGCCACCCAGCGGGCTGGGCCTCGTCTGACCAGCTCTGACTCGCTCGCAGTGATCACCCTCCTCATCTTCCTGCGGCGGCGGCTCCGAAAGCAGGCTCGCGCCCACGGCAAAAGCGTGCCGGAGATCCACGAGCAGCTGGTCACCTACGACGAGGAGGGCGGCGGCGAGATGGACACCACCAGCTACGACGTGTCGGTGCTCAACTCGGTGCGTCACGGCGGGGCCAAGCCCCCGCGACCCGCGCTGGATGCGCGCCCGTCCCTCTACGCCCAGGTGCAGAAGCCGCCTCGGCACGCGCCCAGGGCGCACGGCGGGCCCGGGGAGATGGCCGCCATGATCGAGGAGAAGAAGGACGAGGCGGACCACGACGGCGGCGGCCCGCCCTACGACACGCTGCACATCTACGGCTACGAGGGCTCCGAGTCCATTGCCGAGTCCCTCAGCTCCCTGGGGACCGATTCGTCCGACTCGGACATCGACTACGACTTCCTCAATGACTGGGGGCCCAGGTTCAAGATGTTGGCCGAGCTGTACGGCTCCAACCCCCGGGAGGACCTGGTGTATTAGGGGGGCCGCGGGCCTCTGGGCCTGGGGATCCAAACCACTGCGGCTCAGGCCACTCAGACACCAGGCACTGTGCCCTCGAATTGTAGCTCTCACGCCCCAGCCTAGCACCCCTTCCTCGTGGGTCCCAGCGACCTCACCGCCACGGGTAGCAAACTCCAGGTCCCTGAAACATCCAGGAATGTCCATATTTCAGTGACGGCTACCCCCGAAATGCTGGAACATCCAGGCTAGGATTCTGTTGGGGCTCGGACATCCACAGAACCCTGTCGCCTGGGACCACGGTCCAACTGGAAGACTTTCCCTGGCTCCTCAAAGCAGCTTATGTTCAACAGCCATGGGGAGGTCTCCCCCTGAGGTCCCTGAACCTCCTGATGAGGTTGGCGAGGTCCTGGGGCCTGTCTGCCTGGAAGCAAAAGGCTGGACAGCATGACTCCTGGGCAGCACTCTCTGCAGCCCAGTCCCAGGGGGTATGGGACTGACCCTCAGCCTGACCTGCTTCAACTTCTGCACACCCTCCCAAGTCCCCAGCCCCTCCCCAGGCCCGTCAAGAGCAAGGAAGGGGCTCCTTGGCAGCTCCTGACCCTGGGTCCTGAGGTGACCCTGCTGGCCTGCCGTGCTGGTAACTGTGCCGTACTGAGAGTCGAAAATTCAACCCAAAGTCAGGGAAATGGCTTGTTGAACTTTGAAGCAACTGTGAATTCATCCTGGAGGGACAGTGGAGACCAAGTATGACAGATCATAGGGTGAGGGCCACCTCCACGCCCACACCCTTGGGAGAGGGCCTGGAGTCGCTGTGACCCCAATTCAGGACTCATCGACACCCCTCCAGTTCTGCCTGGGAAGTGGGCCAGACATTCCCAGAGCAGAACTCCTCTCCCCATCTCTGCCTGGTCTAGTCGCTCATTCATGCTCTCTCTTTTCTCTCTCTCTCTCTCCATCTACTCCGTACCTCTTGACTTAGAGGCACTCAAGATGTGACCCTCAGCAACTCCGGCCAAAGGCCGAACCCAAGCATGACTGCACAACAGAGCCGTGCCCTTTGCCTTTACACCCCGTCATGGCCACATCTCAGGGAACCCCAGCAGGGCCCCGTCCCTCAGGCACACCCCGCAGAAGGCAAGGCCCCTGCCCTGCCCAAGCCCTATGGTCATCTGTGCATCTCCCACTTTCAGCCACATATGGAACATTCCCCTGCAAACACCCCTTGGGGAAGTGGCACCGCTCAACGGGAGGGGGCAGGAAGGAGGCAGACTCTCCTACTCACCCTTCATCACGACTGAGGTTCCCACCCTGGGCAAGACCCCTCACACTTCAGCGGACTGTAGATAACACTGACTTTTTTTTTAACCAATAACTAGTTCTTTGTTTTTGTTTTTGTTTTTTTTTAACTAATAATACTTACACGATTCTAGCTCTCACAAACATATAGAATAAGGGTTTTTGCATAATCAGGTTGCTATCTAGGTTAACAATTTTAATTCAGGTTTCTTAGTTGGATAAGCAAATTCCTGTAACCTTCTATTTCCTATCATTGTAGTAATTACTCTGAAGATAATAACTATATATTGACCACACTGGTGCATGGGACGTACTGTATTTTTTTTTATACCTAAATAAAGAAAAATTTTGAAATTCTTCCATTTCTAGAGCTCATGTGAAACACACATACACACATGTACACACCACCACTACCATCATCATCAGAGGAACCCAGGATCATTTGAGATTAGGATTTCAGACAGTCACTACCAAAAAGGGATTGCAGCAGAGAATAACAAGGGACACCTAGTCCAGCCCCCTGCCCTTCCAGAGCCCCATGCCTTCACCCAGCCTCTGTACACAACCCCCAAATCCTCCCCACACACACAGCCTCTGTACATGACCCCCAGCCCCTCTACACACACACAGCAGTCAGGGCATCTGGAAGCTGGAGCTGTAACACCATTTCCATGTGTCAAATGAACTGGGGGCGTAAGATATATCAGCAGTGAGAAAGGAAATCAATCTCTAGCTGGTTGACAACAGTGATTGAGCAGCCGGCACTTTATTGCAGTGTGTGGACCCCAACACTGGGGTCCTGCCTGGAAAATCTCACAATCAAAATGAGAAAAAGAAGCTTCCTTGTCAGGTCTGGAATTGGGGAGGTGGAGGATGAAGCTCACTTCAGCAAGGCTCCTGTTCCTTGACCCCTACCAGCAGGGGTTCCTGGGTAGAGCATCCCCCAGGGATATTTTGCAAACTGTGCTCTGGACAAACACTACTTCTTGGAACTCTCGGAGTCAATCTGTCTTAATTCCAATTTTGCTCTAATATCTTTTGTGATTTCTTTTTTGATTCATTGGTTATTTGGAATGTATTGTTTAATCTCCATATACTTGTAAATTTTCCGAATTTCCTTCTGTCATTGGTTTCTAATTTCATTCCATCGTGGTAAGAGGACACAATTTTATATTTATTTATTTATTTTGGTGAGGAAGATTGGCCCTAAGTTAACATCTGCTGCCAATCTTCCTCTTTTTGCTTGAGGAAGATTGGCCCTGAGCTAACATCTGTACCAGTCTTCCTCTATTTTATATGTGGGTCACCACCACAGCATGGCTTGACAAGTGGTGTATGTCTGCGCCCAGGGTCTGAACCCACAAACCTGGGCTGCGAAGTGGAGCACACTGAACTTAACCACTGCATCACTGGGCCAGCCCCCAGAGGACATAATTTTTATGATTTCAATCCTTATAAATTTATTGAGACTTGTTTTACGCCTTAACATATGTTTTATCCTGGAGAAGCTTCCATGTGCACTTAGAAGAATGTGTATTCTTCTGTTGGTGGTGCAGTGTTCCAAAGATGTCTGTTAGATCTAGTTGATTTATAATGTTAGTCAAGTCTTTTATTTTCTCACTAATCTTCTGTCTAATTAGTCTATCCATTATGGCAAGTGGGGTGCTGAAATCTCCAACTATTAGTGTTGAATTGTCTATTTCTCCTTTCAATTCTGTCAGTTTTTGCTTCATGTATTTTGGGTCTCTGTTGTTAGGGGCATATCTTACAATTGTTAGTTCTTCTTGATGGGTTGACCCTTTTAGCATTATAAAATATATCTCTTTGTATCTAGTAACAATTTTTACCTTGAAGTCTATTTTGTCTAATATTAGTATAGTCACTCCAGCTCTCTTTTGGTTACTGTTTACATGGTATATCTTTTTCCATTCTTTTACTTTCAATCTATTTGTGTCTTTTAATATAAAGTGTCTTCTGTAGACAAAATATATTTGGATCGTGGCAGTTTATCCATCCTACCAATCCTTTTACATTTAATGTAACTACTGATAAGGTAGGATTTATGTCTGCCATTTTCCTATTTGTTTTCCATGTCTTATGTCTTTTTTGTTCCTCCATTATCCCATTACTGCCTTCTTTTATGTTAAATAGATATTTTCCAGTGTACCATTTTAATTCTCTTGTCATTTCTTACACTATATTTTTAAAATTATTTTCTTAGTGGTTCCCCTGAGAATTATATTTAAAATCTTAACTTATAACAATCTAGTTAGAGTTTGTACCAACTTAATTTAAATAGTGTACAAAACTTTGCTCCTATATAGCTCCACTCACCCCCCTCCTTGGTGCTGTCATTGTTGTACATTTTTATACATTGTGTGCCCATCAACATAGATTTATAATGATTGCTTTATGCAGTTGTCTTTTAAACCACATAGGAGGAGAAAAAAGAGTTGTAAAGGAAAATATATATATTTAAACTGTATTTTATATCTACCTATACAGTTACTTTTACTGCTGATCTTTATTTCTTCATGTGGATTCAAATTACTGTCTAGTGTCTTTTCATTTCAGCCTAAAGGACTCGCTTTAGTATTTTTTGTAGGGAAGGTCTGGTAGTGAGGAATTCTCTCCATTTTGTTTATCTAGGAATGTCTTGATTTCCCCTTTATTTTTGCAGGATAGTTTTGCTAAATATAGAATTCTTGGTTGGTATGCTTTTTCTTTCAACACTTTGAATGCCATGCCACTGCCTTCTGGCATCCCTGGCTTCTGATGAGAAATGGCTGTTAATCTTATTGAGGAAAATTTGTGTGTGATAAGTTCTTTTTCTCTTGTTGCTTTCAATATTCCCTCTATCTTTGATTTTCAATAGTTTCATTATCACGTGTCTAGGATAAATTCTAAGAGTTTATCTTGTTTGGAGTTCATTGAACTTCTTGGATGTGTAGATTAATATTTTTATCAAATTTGGAAATTTTGAGCCATTATTTCCTCAGATATTCTTCCTGCCTCTTTCTCTCTCTCCTCTGGGACTCACATTATGCATATATTAGTATGCTTGCTGATGTCCAATAGGTATCTCAGGCTCTATTCATTTTCTTCATTCTTTTTTCTTTCTTTTCATCAGATTAGATAATCTCAATTGACCTATCTTCAAGTTTGCTGATCCTTTCTTCAGTTAACTCACATCTGCTCTTGAGCTCTTCTAGTGAGTTTTTCATTTCACTTATTGTACTTTCAACTCCAGAATTTCTATTTTGTTCCTTTTTATCATTTCTACCTCTGTATTGATATTCTCTATTTGGTGAGACATCGTCCTCACACTTTTCTTTAGTTCTTTAGACATGGTTTCCTTTAGTTCTTTGAACATATTTTAAATAACTGGTTTAAAGCTTTCGTCTAGTAAGTCCAACATCTGGATTACTTCAGGGATAGTTTCTATTGATTGCTTTTTTCCCTAGGAATGGGCCATTCTTTCTTGTTTCTTTGCATGTCTCATAATTTTTGCAGAAAATTGGATATTTTAAATAATATAATGTAGCAACTGTGAAAATTAGATCCTTGCCCTCCCAGGGTTTGTTGTGTTTGCTGGCTTTTGCTGCCGTAGTTTGTTTACTGGCTTTCCTAAACAAATGCTGTAAAGTTTTTACTCTTTGTTATGTGTGGCCACTGAAGTTTCTGCTTGGTAGTGGTCAGCTAATGATTGGACAGAGATCCCCTTAAATACCTGGAACCAGTAAGTCTCTCAGCATTTGCTGAGGGACTTTGTGTGTATGTTGGGGAACTCCTTCAATGCTCAGGCAGGCAGTTTACAACTCAGCCTTAGCCTTCACTTTCTGATTGCACAGAGCCTCAAGGTCAGCCAGAGGTGAGAGCTTAGGGCCTTCCCAGGTCTTTCCTGGGCATGAGCACAGCCCTACACATGTGAGTGGCCTTTTAGATTCCCGGGAATATACCAAAGTTTTTCAAAGCCCTCTGTGGACAGCTCATTCCGCAAGTTTTCCTTTTAAGATTTGTGGTCAGCTTCTTATTTGTCCCAGCTGTTATCACTGCCTCAGGCAGCTACAATGTTAAACAATTGCCACTGATTGTTTTCAACAAATGCCCTCAGAAAAAAAGGCTGTTTGCATTGAGCGAGTTTCAAGTCAGGTCAAACAAATGCAACCTTTCAAGTGAGGTCGTCTAGGAAACCACCAGACAGGTCAAATAATGACAGTTATCTGGGAATTGGTATTTGGAGGAGCTCCAACCCTGTTCTTCCCCTTCCAGTAGCAGCTAGGCTACTGATTTTCACTATGATTATGGGGTTATTGGGTTTCAAGGCTGCCACAGG